TGGGCTAACACTCGAAATGTCAGCTTTGTAACTCTTAAAAATGGCCAAATTATGTTATTAACCCAGTCGATAATACCAAATTCCCCTGTTATACTCTCCCACCAACGCAGCATCGCAGTTTCTTTAGAAACTTCCCCCCTCTCTTCATGCACAATGTACTTAACTTTAATCCTTTACCTGAATTTGTTTGTTAAAAATCAGATATTGGACAAAGTGGACCTGCCATCATGTGAGAGGCCCAAGAGGCCTGAACACTGCCCTCCGGAAATCTACAATATTTTGGTGTCACTCTGCTGGTCGCATGAGCCTCACCAGCGGGCAAGGTTTAGCATGCTTAAAAAACTGGTAGACGAGGTGAGTGCCATACTTGCATATGTACTTCTGTCAATAGCTGCATTTGAATACTATACATGTTTGCTTTAGGTAAGCTACCTCTCTTGATTTTTTCCATAGTCCCTGTCTCCTCTGTGAAATCTACCTGGATCTATTTTGTCTTTGTGTTATCTTGAAGTGTACATTAACATTTTTGTGCTGCCAGTAATGTACATTCCGTTAATCATTCTTTTTCAACTGAATTGTGAATGTGTCAATCCTTGAACCACGAAGTACAGAAATAATTGTAATTACTTTTAATTAAACATTTTATGTTTTGTAGGCACATCCCATGAATGTCGCTGCAGTGTTACCCTATGAGAGCAAGAGCCAACAAAATCTGAGCTTTCAGGAAGGTGACATTATCACACTTCTTGAAGCCAGGTGAGATGATAAAAGTACAAAACAAGGACTCTGTGTTTTCAACTTATTTATTTTGAAATGCACTCTGAACCTGTGTACACCGATTACCGCATTAGCTTATTATTTTATTTACCTTTGCAGTCCCGATGTTTCTTGGTGGAAAGGACAAAATATGAGTACAAGAAAAGTCGGGATGTTTCCGTCAGAATTTGTAGAAAGTGGAATGCGGCGAGGTACCTAAGGAGAAAATTTGCATTGACTGATGTGTTCATCACTCTTCTGAGCCCAGTTGTTCAAAGGTGGATAGCGTTATGGAACGGACAAATCGCTATCCAGCAGATAACTGTTAACAAAATGTACTGCGCTATCCAACGGAAAGCGATTTGTCCAGTGGATAGCATTATCTACCTTTCGAACAATCGAGCCTAGGTTTAAATTTAAATTAAATTGTGTCGTATGTGCTGTTTATTTATCTCACTTTAAAGTGTATAATTCTGCCTCGTGTCTCGAAAACTTACTGTTTCTGTTTTTTTTAAACAACAATTTCCTTTAAAACAAGTACAATATTTTTTTAATATCTTGTTTGTTTGCAGCCGTTTCACCAGTGAACACTCGGACGTCTCTAAAACCGAAGTGAGTTTTTGTTTCGCTTTTGTTTGTTTGTCTGTCTGTCTCTGTGTTTCTTTTGCTCCTTTTTTTTAAAAGAATTCGTCTGTTGCACATTGTTTTTTTTTTGGTTGTACAAGGGCAGTGTTCTAGCCTCCATCCTATCGTTTGGTTAAGATTAACGTAGAACTTCGTGCGATATGTAAGCGTTTTTCTTCCATCTTTTTCAGAAGTAATATTACGAAGCGAAGCAAACAGTGTAATCAGCTACCAAACTGTGGTAAGATTTTTCCCTAGTGCGATTTTTCACCCTTTTTGCATTTGTTTTTAATGGTTTTGTGCATTTGTCGTTTCTGTTTCCTTTGTTTGAGAAGCACCTTGTATCTGTATTTGTCATAAAAGACAATAAGGAACGAAACAAACTCGGATCAATAACAGTATCTGGGTAACTGCCCACCAACCCCTCCCCTAACCCAACATTAACCCTAACTTGTTATCAATTGACTGTTGTTGGGTTAGGGGAGGGGTTGGTGGGCAGTTGCCCAGATACTGATATTGATCCACAAACTCTATGAGACACCCATCTCACTTTGATTTCTGTAACTCATTTATTCCTTAGACTGCGGAAGTGAGCACATCTACGAGACTCCTATCTTCTTATATTCACCAAACTCTTTGAAGAACGGCAGCAGTGTAAGCACTACTTTTTCTGGCCAGTCTGTTGAAAGCGACTTGGCCTCCTCCACAGACGTTGATAGCGGATATTCTTCCAGCGTGGACGTTAGACGATTCCGCCATTTGTATGACGAGAACAGCTCAGGAAAACAAAAAGCAAGGGTGGAGAATTTTTATGAAAACGCGAGCATCAGAAAGCAGGATACCAAGGATACCACGTATGAATTGATGTACCCTGCGAGTGGACCGGTATCCAGTCCTATTCCCATTCCAAGACAAAGCACAGGGGAATTAAGATTTGTCAGGATACAAAATGACACATCTTCGACTCCTCCATCACGCACTGGCCAGAAATGCCCCCTAGACTTAAACTTCTCCAGCCCCCGATTGTCTGCCGGTGAAACGGAAGCTCCTTCTCTTGTCACTCAAAATACTTCAACTTCACTCCCACCCAGCTCAGCTACAGAATTACATGAAAATTCTCCAAGGCTCTCCAGGACGGTCTCACCACGACCAAGTAAGAAATCTCAGTGGGATTCTGGGGAAGGGGAAACACTTGCCCAGGATTTGCTGACATTCTCGAAAGGAGCTGGAGGAGATAAGTCATCGGTTCGTCCTAACTCCAAGAAAGCTGAAGAGGAGGACATTTACGAAGAATTATCTGGGCCGTTTACATCTGTTCCATCAAATCCCAAAGGCTCTATTGTGACAAATACTTCCTCCAGTGTACCGTTGACAGCGCACAAGAAACATTCATACGAAAACTATGCTTTACCCTTGAAACAACAATTAAGTTCTACAAAAGACCATGCCAAAGATCAGAGCATTAACGAAGCTGATAGAAGCAGGTGCAACTCAGCTAATCAAGTGCTAGACGAGCAAGAGCTTAGAGATAGCCGATGCAATACTTGGCCCTCACAACAAAACTATGTCAATCACAAACTGAAGGAAGCTGGTTTGATGCCATCAGATGAAGGTTTCTATGACAACCACAAGCTTAGAACCACCTCAGACGCGTTTCAGCCAACTTCTGACGCCTGCTACGATAATTGGAAGATCAGTAACAAGGAAAGTGAGTCGGTGGGAGAGTTTCTGAGGGAAGAACAGACGCCCTGTTATGAGAACGTTGAGCTACAAACTGTTAAACATAAGGTCAATAATGGAAATCTCTCCCAAAAATCTGGAACTAGTTTGGGCTCCCATGAAGAAACACTTTCAAATCAAAACAAAACTAGGGAAGAAAGATGCAATAATTCCTCGTTCACCTCACATCAAAAGACCTGCATGTACGAATGCATGATTCCTAAATATTTACAAAATGGAGACCTCACGCAAGAATATAAAAAGCAAGGAAATACTGACAGTATATACGAGAACTGTGAAACTGTTGACTACAGGAAAGACAACCCCGAAGAGGTGGTTGGGGGCATGGTAATCCCAAGATCAATTAGACAAAATGACAGCAACTCACGAAAACTTTGTCGTTCCTTGCCCACAAATTGTCACTGCGTGGGGGTCGCTCCCGGCGATCCTTATGGTTTATTAAATATGATCCTGGAAAAACGCAGCCAGCCATTGCTGACCAGGGTAGGAAGTGCTGATGCTATTCGTGTTAATGCCTGGAAGGACGATCCTCTCACTGCCGGAGGACCAAGGGAAAGCGGAGACCATTTGGACCTCCAAGGTCATCCTGTTCCACCTCCGCGCTGGAAGCGATTAGCTCGTATGAAGAGGCCTCTCTCATTTACGTGTTGCTCCCATAACCAGTGGGAAATAACCATCAGTCCTGAGCTTGCATCTGTGCTGAGCAAAAGACTGAATGGATCTGCTTTGGGCTCGTCTGCATGGTTGAAAGCAGGTGCAAGCTCATTAAATGGCCACCATTCGGAAGCAGTAGAAATGGGCAAACCATGTTTGCCTCCACCGTCTGACCAAAGAGATAAAATAACCACGAAGGCTCGCAATTCCTCAAGTAACGCATACGAAAATGTTCGGTTACCGTGTGAGACTCCTGTGCAGAAAAATACCCCTCCCGAGCTTCCACCAAAGCTACAATGGTCAAATGAGAAAGTTTCCTTCCAGAGAACCACACAAAGAGCGAGAGCATTGCACTATGAAAATGTCAATGTGGTAAATGACTTTCATGCAGTCTCGCAAATAGCATATGATTCCTCTCCTCCACCACTTCCAAGGAAACTATCTAAGGCAAAACCAACACCTATTATACCACGCCGAGTGGATCTAGAACAGCAGGGTTAAGAAATGTGTGCTAGACCCACATTGAACTGTTTATTGAAGGAAGGGGTACTGTCCTACTGTCCTACCCGAAAGCCTCAACGATGATCTGCCACACTGGAATGATCTGAAACAACAGTTTTAACAAATTGCCATGAAAATTCATCTGAAGCTCCTATCGGAGGAAATGAGTTTCGTCTCACTTGAAAACCTCAACGATGAACCTCCACGCCGCGTTAACTGGAACAGCTTATGTCAGCCCTTTCACCCCTAGGAGTGACTAGCATCTAATTTCTCCTTATCATATCACCCCTGATTCAAACATTAAGGTCACAAGAATACAAGAAATGATCACCAACTTGAGAAGCTTTTGATTGCTAAACATATTCTCTATTTCAGTACCTTTGGAAATGTATAAAGAACAGTACAGAGAATATACATACTGATGATAGGGTGGAGAGGGTTAATAAGTATACATCGTTTGGCCACCATAGCCTTTTGTCTGAATAAATGAAATTATTTTTAATGCTCTTAGGGCATGTACATTAGCTACTTGAAATTTTTAGATCAACGTTATTTTTTGTAATTGTCTTAATTTATGAGGTTTGTCTCTTGACTTCATATCGTAAAGTAGTCAGCGTGATAAACAGATACGAAATAATTATGTCTTGCCATTAGGGCAAGACAATCAATGAATTTATGTCAATATTTTCAGAGACTAAGTCTCTTCAAATTTAAGTAGTTGATTATTCAACAATTTGGTGGCTGGATACCCCTATTTTGTCATGAATCATACAAGAGTAAGTGTTTGAGTGTAATTTTGTCTTTTTCTGAAGTTAATCTTCAGCTGGTTAACATAATTCCATTGCTCTATTTTGCTTTGTAGCCTTGCATTTTCGCGAAGGCTTTATTATTCTTTATACTTTTTTTTAATATTTGTTTCATGGGAACGCAATGTAATTTTGAAACGTATGTCAGGTCACATGTAGGTTTCATCCTTTGTACCTTTTTTTTTTTTTCTTTTAGCATTTTATTTATGCTTGCATCGGCAGCAAAGTGTGTTCAAAAATTATATTTAAGGATTTACTGAAAGAGCAATGAAACGTTGTACCTGACGCAGGAATATAAATCTATGTGATATACGTAGGTGCTCTAGTTACACGTAGATATACATAGTTGTCTTAGGCGTCATTCCAAGACACGCAATTTAAATTTGATCATTAGATCTGTGCTCTTATTATGGAAGTAGTGAGCGTGTGTCGAAACAGGCTTGCCGCCATTTTCCCTTCTAGGTCAAAATGTAAATAGCTGTATAGAATAAGTGTCATCGCATATGCAGGGAAACGTATCAGTAATAATTCAGCCGCCATGCTATTTCGTTCACTGCCATTTGAAATAATCCTTTGGTGTCGACTAGGGAGGATAAAATTAATGTGAACAATTTTCTTGTCTTTAATGACTGGAAATCGCCCTTAGAAAAAATTGTAGAAAATATGTCGACGAGTTAATGTAAAATAGAAATGTAAATACAGATGACTAGAATTAAAAAGTAAATATTCATACCTTTGAAATGAATGCCTCATTTCAATCAACAGTCGAGGTGTGCGAGATGCCCAGCTGCCGTTGTGCCTGGAGTTAGTCCTGGATACTAGTGTCCAATTTTAGACAAAGGAGCCCGATTTTGAAAACAAGTATTCCATTTCATCTCTACTGTCCTATTTTGACTATAAAATCCGATTTTAGACACTAGTGTTCCGTTTTAGACTATGGATCCGATTTTAGAAACTAATGTAGGAGTTTAGACGCTATTGTCTGACTTAACGCACTAGTGTCCGATTCTAGACACACGCAAGCATCCGATCTTAGACAGTGTCCGATACTGTAGACTAGAGTCCTATTTTGAACAATAGACTCTAACGTCATAACGATATCAATGATTAAGGAAGCATTGGTAGTCTGTTCTAGTCTCGGTCTGTTCTAGTCTCAGTTTTGGATGAAACTGCCTCCTTGACAACGTAATCATAGTTTTCGTGACCTTGGCGCTTACGAATGCGTTTGAGAGTTTTATTTTGAGTAGTGATGAAATAAGAAATCTCACTTTACTTTAGAGGTCAAAAACCGTAAGAAAGAGATCTCTTAAACATGTCACGCTGGTTTGGTACCGTTTTTGAAATTGAACCTGTTATCATTTGAAACAGTTTATTAACAAGATAATTCAATTTAATAGCCGTATAATTCTACCAAGCACACTGGCGTCGCGTAGGAAGGGTCAATGACAAGAAGTACTAAAGCAACGCAGAGAACTGCTTGTAACTGACTCTAGAACTGTGGACTCAATTGAACGGCTCTGTCGGGACAAATAATCATCAGTTTCCGTTAGGTCCAGGTGTCCGTGATAAATGATTACCCCATGAACGATTTGAATATGCCGTTTCATTGAAGAATTTAGCGCATCTTTGACTGTATTGATCGATTGCTTAATTTTATTTAGACTTCATGGAGTTCTGTCAATTGCCGCTTGTACCTGGAAAGGAAGTTACTGATAGAAAGGAAGAAGATGAAGAGGAAATGAATTTCGAGAACTTTTACAGATGAAGTTTGAACGTGTCAACGGTAGCGGAACATTTTGAAGTATGAAATTATCTGAGCGTCTGTAGTGAGCGAACAGTAAGAGATTGAGAAAAAACAACAACAACAAAACAACACGGACGGATTTATTATCTACACAAAGTTTAAAAGAGCAGAAGAAGATACGACTCGAATTGGTTCATTCAAAACGATCTTTATAACGAGTTCAATTAAGAGACACTTGGAGACGACGCTTTTCGGAACCCTCTTCTTAACACACGACAACAGATTCAAACAATTTCCGTGACTTTCTTTGTACTTGTGCTCTAATAGCGTATTATTTTAAAAAGCTTAAATAATAAAAGTTGTCTCAGTTTACTCGCAAAGGTCAGATACCTCAAGAGAAAAGGCCTCAAACATGTCATGTTTTGTTACTGTTATTGCACAAGTAATATGTCATTATCACGGTAGAGAGGGTAAAATTTGCGCAAACCATCGTGAATAGGGTTAAAATTGCGTTCATAAACAGTTCGGCAAGCTGGGTTGATGATATCTATGAGTTTGTGACTCGTGACTCAGAAAACTGATTGTATGCAACTGATATCTGCAAAAGCGACTCCAGTGATAAAAATGAAACATTTCCCTTCAGTCTGAGTATCTGTAGAGTTTCATTCTGCTGTTCCACTGTCGAGTCTCTTTGATTGCGCTATTTGCTTATGAATTCTCTTCCTGGTTCAAAACGTCGAGTTTTCTTGTTTGTCGCTTGCACTGAAAGGAAGTTGCTTTTAGTCAAACTTCTGAGGAAATTGATGTCGAGAACAGTGAAATTAAAATGATATTTAATTTGCGCTGTGTCAGAGCGAACGGAACACATACAACATATAAAATACGTTGTATTTTACCACCAGCATTAGCTTTCGTGATGTCTCTCAAAGAGCGTTCTTTTCTGGTAAGCCCCGGCACAGTTCTATCTATTTTGTGCTTGCTCCTCTGCTCCGTCGGATTCATTCGAATCGAGACCATATTCAAAGACTACGAACAAAGGTTGAAGACAGTGGAGAAAGTCTTGCCCCACGATCAAATGAAACGAGCAAGGACGAATTTAGCTTCGACTAATGAGGGTAACTGAAAACATTCTGTTTTGTATAATATTAGTTTTCATATAAATTTACAAGTTTTCATAAACAAGCTTTCACAAGGTAGCTTGAGTGCTATTCTAGTTGGGCGGCACGTCAGAAGTAAAAGTCTTTCAACAGCGTCAACAAATTACCTATAATTTAATAATATTGCTGATAGGACAAATTCAATCACGTTAAGTTCTAGTTATATCATGGTGTTATTTGGTACATTACGTTTCTTCGAGAAGCAATTAACTTAGAAATGATACAAGTATATCTGTCATTTTAATCGTTCGAGGCAAATTCTTATTTTCCTTCCGTTCGTGATCAAACGGAGGTAATATAAGAATTGAGGAAACTCTCAATTTCGTCCAACAATAGGTAAAATTAAAATTTTGACCTCTTCTTGGACGAAATTGAGAGTTTCGTGACATTGAGAAAAAGTATTGATTTACGTGCATCCTTGAAAAGTAATCTCCGTTCAATGAAACGTTCTCGAATCTCTTTTTCGACGTTGTTTTGAGAGAGGCCTCAAATTACTAAAGACGTAGCGGTAGAGCTGCTATGATATTTAATTCACTTCCTTCTTGTGTGGTGTCTAGTCCGTCGATGAGAACCATTGTCGTTGAGAGATGATACCACTTTCGCTTTAGGCCTCTGCTACATTTCAAGCATCGCACGCTTCGGTAGCTTACTTAATTAGATTCAGCAAACTTAAACAGCATCACCAAAAACAATTTGCTAGAACTGAGTTCTAATAGCTACATATAATGGTTCAAATGGGAGGTTGGCTAAATTCACCAAGCGCAACAGAAACTACAACAGAAACAACGACAATAAAAAAAGCAGCAGCCACAAAAATACAAATTACCGAGCATTGTAATCTCTAAAAATTTCTGCTTAAAATTCTAGTTTCTACCACGCAAGGCGAGGATGAACCCCATCGAGTAAAACGTAGTATTTCACAACCATCTCCTTTCAATAACTCTGCTCACATCAAAGAACTATTTGGAGACATTATCTCCTCCACTTTAAAGCTGTGTCAGTACCAAGGACAATTGAATGTTTGCCCTCGTGGTCGGCCGGGACTTCCAGGGAGAGCTGGACCCAAAGGTGACAAAGGAACTAAAGGCCCCCGAGGAATTATAGGAGCTCCTGGTCGGAGCGGAAAACCAGGAAAGATGGGACAATCTGGAGTAAGAGGAGAAAAGGGAATTAAAGGAGATATCGGGCCACCGGGTATCCCCGGTATCCCGGGAATTAAAGGGGAACCAGGAGAGTCTATTTCGCCTCCAAAAGTGACAATTTCTGCACCAAAACTAATTGTCAACGAAACCAAAACAGCCTCACTTCTATGCTCTGCTTCTGGAAATCCCGCTGTTCAAATATCATGGTCAAAGACCAAGGGATCGTTGCCTAGAAACCGGACCAAAGTGGCGTCAAATGGCCTAATGCAGATCACTAATGTTGGCTTAGAAGATGCGGGCGAATACAAATGCGATGCGCGAAGTATACTGGGAAAGGATGAAAAAACTGCAAGTCTTGTTGTTCAAAGTAGGTTGTATATTTTTCACATGTTTTCCTTTTTCTTTCGTGGTCACATGAACAAAACGTATCACCAAGGAATTTTTTTTAATCTATGAATGATTCAAATCCTTCTGGTTTGTAAAGAGGCCGAAAAGATAACAATAGTACAACGGTACTAACGACTTACGCAATTATTCACAGCTCAGCCCCAAGTTTCACTTTCTTCGGGCCCAACCTACGTTGAAGTGGGAAAGAACATCACTCTACCAAAATGTCACGTGATAAGCTTTCCACCAGCAGTGATTAAGTGGTCCAAATTTAACGGTGGCTTAGCGCAGTCCAGGACTGTTGTGAAAGATGGACAGCTGACCATAATACATGCGAAAATGGCAGACTTTGGTTCATACGAATGTAAAGCGTCAAACATTTTAGGACATGATTCAGCTTGGACGCGCTTGAGTGTATTTCAGCTACCGCGTTTTACAAAAACACCACCTGCACAGCTTTTTGTTGAGAAGAACAAAAGAATTTCAGTCCTCTGTCAGGCTACTGGTCACTCTCCACCAAAAATCACGTGGTTAAAAGAGAGAGGCAATCTTCCTGTTGGCAGATCACTGGTCAGTCATGATGGAACACTACAAATCTGGAACACAAAAAAGGAAGACTCAGGCACTTATATCTGTACAGCAACGTCTAACATAGTGCACAAGGCGGTCACTGGAATGAAATTGACTATTGGTGGTGAGTCTACTCTGTATGTCCTATATTCGGGTTTTATTTGTTGTAATTACCGTTTTCATTAATATTATTATAACCTTTATTATTATTGTTAATAATAATGTTATTCTTAATATTATCGTCATTGTTATGATGATGATGATGATCATCGTCATCATCATTACTATTATTGTTATTATTATTATTATTATTATTATTATTATTATTTTCATTATTTGTTATTTGTAAAATCCGTCGCAGCTCTATCTGAACCCGAAGCCTGTGTAGGTTATATTAATGAAACGTTTTTTATAGCAAAGCAAACAATGAATGCAAATTTTACGATACCCTCCGAATAGGCTTTAACATGTATTCCATTAACTCTTATTTAGAATGTGTTCCTGTTGCTGTGGCAGACAATGACACAATTCCAGACAGCGCACTTAAAGCAAGCACATTCTATAGTACATATTATCATCCATACCACGGCCGACTGAATGAAACCAGGGGAAGGGGGGCGTGGTGTCCTCAGACTAAATCTGATAGAACAGATTACCTCCAAGTTGATATGGGTGCAGAGCTGTCTGTTTGTGCTGTGGCTACACAGGGAGCACTGATTCCTAGCGAATGGATCACCAGCTACAAATTGGTTCTATCCGCAGACGGTGTAACTTGGAAAACTTACAAGGAATCAAATGTAGAAAAGGTTTGTAAATGCCAATGAATGAAGAGTTGATTTGATCAGCAGATGTGGATGACGGCTATAAGCCCTTGTAGAGTCCAATTCGGTCTGCGCATTAAACGAGTAATTTAATCGTGTGGTATATGTGTTACTGACCAAGCGTTAGGTTAAGATACCTAGATATTGGCCGAGCTCTTTTATTTATTTATTTATTTATTTTTTTTTTTTTTTTGCGTTTTTATAGACTGAGATGAAGTCCAGGTCCTTAAAATACGCAAAAAAATGAGCTAGACTAATATTCAACCATCTTCACCTGACGCTTGCTCAATGAAGGATTTATCATACGGCAATAATATTTCGTTTGAATAAAAACCAGGAATGGCTGTTTCTTTCGAGAACGGGGAAAGAAGCCGACTGTGTTTGTGGCACAATAAACCCACGAGAGTCGGTTGGTGTTTCTTTGTTTTGCCTATCTTCTGCCGCTTTTTGCGACTCCATCACCGACAGTGTCAAAAGAATTACGAACTTTTAAAGTCCACCCCACGAAACTTATATCCTTGTACAGGATCATAGCTGCTTATCTCTAGCGGGCAAGTTGGGCCCCATCTTGCCTACCCAGGTAGCCAATCAGAACACAGGATTCGCTTCATAGTGCCCACTGGCGCTGCCAGCTGCATAATAACTGTCTTTATCCACGGTTATGATTACTGACTGAACAGCGGGTTAAAAAAATACCTGTGGTCAATCAGCCAAAACTATCGCAAAATTTTGGGCAAAATATCTATCGATAAGACGCATACATAAATAAGAGTTTTTTGTTATTGTTGCTGTTGTTCTTGTTGTTGTTGTTTTTCGGAGGGAAGAGGGAAAATGGACCCAATACTCTGCTGATAACTATTACATTCGAGAATTTT